CAGCGGCCCGGGTTCGATTCCAGCCTGCTACCAGCTCTCACTATCAAATAAAGGCAATAAAAAACACAACAGTAATTTAATAAACGTGAATATTTGCTGGTTTTTTTTGAGGATTTTCTTTACAGTCGGACAGAAAACAACTTTTTAAGAGTCTAAGTATCCAGTTTAAATAACTTAAAACTTTAAAGTGTGCAGATTTACATCAGAATAACAAATGGACCGTCTCTCTGTCTGTCTCTGTCTGTCTGTCTCTGTCTGTCTGTCTGTCTGTCTGTCAGGAGGTGCTGTTGAAGCGAGCAGCCGACCTGGTGGAGGCTCTGTACGGGATGCCGCACAACAACCAGGTGAGTCTGCAGCTTCTGTCTGACCTTTGACCTCCACTGCACATAAACAGCTGACCACCTTCAGCTCTTTAAATAACGAGTCTGTTTGAACTTTAATTCACTTTAATTTACTTTAATTACACAAAGAAACAATTTAAAACCTTTATTCACCAAAATCAGAGTTTATACCTTTTAATTAGTTTGTTTCACTCCTTCACTCCTTCACTCCTTAACTCCTTCTGTCCTTCACTCCTTCCCTCCCTCCCTCCCTCCCTCAGTGTATGATGGTGGTTTTCCTACATGGCTTTTACAACCCGTTATTTAACAGATGCTTCAGTTCTTAAATTAAACTTGTTAAACAGAACCAGGACACGGTGCATTCACTAACTCACCACTAAAAACATTCTCACTGTTTTATCAAAAACAGGTTTTTATGTTTCCGTTCATAAGCTTTGTTTTGAGCAGATTGGTTTGATATATATAAACCTTAATTTAATCTTTTAATCTCATTTTCAGGAGAGACCTGAATGCATCGTCTATAAAAAGATAAAACAAACATTTTAAAATGTACAATATCGATTGTGATAATTATAACAGAACCGTAATAAAAACAGGATAATAGTTCAATAATAGTTAAAACTAACTCACTGGAAGTACAGTAAGAATTTGGGCTCTTTTGTATTAAAGCTGCAAGTGTTTGATTAGTTATCAACTATTAAATTAATCACAAGTTACTTTGATAATTGATTAATAATTTTCAGTCATTTATGACATTTTATGGACCAAACAACTAATCGATCGATTAATACAAAAACGCTCTTTACACTCACACAAGCACCAAATAGGGGCTCGTCCGGGATCCAACCGCATATATTATAAATATTAAATCATATTTTTATCATATCATATTTACTCCTCGAGGTTTTTCTCAGCGTTCTGCTTTGTTTGGTTTTCTGGTAGATTTGGATAATCGATTAATAGTAAGTAAGTAAAAGTTTCTTAAGAATTTAAAATTTTTTTATTCTCTGATTTCAGTTTCTCCAAAGTGAATATTTGCTGGTTTCTTTCATAAAGTAAAAAGCAAATATTATATAATATTATACAGTAAACTGAATATCTTTGGACATTTTTCTCAGATTTTATGAAGAAAACAACTAATCGATTAATGGAAGAGTTTATAAAAAACTACAACTTCTCACTTTATGCAAAAGCGATCAATAAATGGGGGCTCATCCGGGACCAATTTTTGGTTTTGGTAGCTTTCTGCTATTCTGATAATCAATTATTCCTTTTCGGTCATTTTTAATGGAAAATATAAAAAATTCAAATTTTAAAAAAAGAAGTATTTGAATTTGTTAATAATAAAATTAAAATAATCGTTAGCTGCAGCTGCACTTTCTGATTTGCTACACCAGTGTTTATAAAGTCATCCATCTTTGATCACATACCTCTTTCCCCCCCGCAGGAGATCATCCTGAAGCGGGCAGCCGACCTCACCGAGGCGCTCTACAGTGTCCCCCGCAGTCACAACCAGCTGCCGTCTCTCACCGGCTCGGCCGCTCACTCGGGGATGATGGGCGTGAACTCGTTCAGCAGTCAGCTCGCCGTCAACATCTCCGAGGCCTCGCAGGCCGACCAGGGTGAGGGCTCGCTGCTACCCACAATCCTCTGGGGGGGAGGGAGCGGGGTGCTTTGGGGGTTATAGACACTGTGTGTTGTGTTTGCTTCCACAAATAAAAAGTCTCTGTTTATGTAACGTTACTGCGCGTCTTCTTGTACTGTTTAAGATAGCATCAGCTAACTAGCAGTTACGTTACGAGTCAGGCTAACGACAATTAAAGTAAGCGTCCAGATACATTTCTGAGCTGGAAGCTGTGGGTGGAGCTTACTGAGCACTTTAATGACGACGATTTTACTTCCTGGGCGAAAATATTCACAATGACTCGTTAACGTTGGCTAATAAATAGCTAGCTGTTCACAAAAAACTGAAATGAAACTGCTGGAACATCCAGCAGTTTCTTTTCTGTATACCCAGATTGTGTTGTGCTGCATTTAGTAATTTTTACCTCTGAATTATTATAAATAAGCCCAATCTGGTGCAGGACCTAATGTATGATGTATTTTATAAAAATGGTACCAGAACCGAACATTTCTTTACGATTCCCAGCCCAGTTTTTGGGCCTCGAGCTGCAGAAGTTTGGGAAGCGGCGCTGTAGTGAGGATTCGGTGCAGCAGGTCGGCGAACAAACAAACTGCAGTGTGTGTTCAAGGATCAGTGATGGGGTTTTAATAGTTTTTGTGGCACAGAGGAAGAAGATGAATCAGGCTGAGATACATTCACTGCTGTTGGCCAGAAGCAGTCATTCTGCTTCTGTCACGGACGCTCAGGAAAACGTGCAGCGAGCAGCTTGTGAACACGCGTCGACAGGAAGCAGATAGAGCTGCTTTTACTCCCCGGACACCCTGCCTCCTCCCTCCCTCCCTCCCTCCGCTAAATCGTCGTCTGCTTTTCACATCGGCCCGGCAGCGAACACCTTACAGGAATCCATGAGGTCATGGGAAACAAGGCTGCAGGATTCATAAGTCGGTAGTTTATGTGCACGGATCTCTCCGGTCGGAAACATTACACCAAGGATCTGACCGCCGTTATGAAGTATGAAACGGGCTCTCTGTGCCCCTCGCAATTATCTGCCGTGATTAAAACATTAATAAAAACAGTGGCTCCCGAGCCCAGGCCTTATCAGCCGGACGAGGAGAGTAATTTACGGCGCTAATTCAGAGCAGCCCGGCCTGCTCAGCGTCATGTCGTCCTCCTGGAAGATGGACGGCGGTTTTTCTGCTTCTTCTGGAGTTCGTCTTCGTTCCTCTGCTTCAATTTGACAGCTGATGAGTGGAGGAAGAAGAGGAGAGTCTGACAAACATTCATTTACTTTATATACTTTATTTTTAAAGTTTACTGGTAGAAAAATAAAATAAATATGTAAAAAACTAAACAAAATAACCAATAAATATTTAATAAATTAAAAACAGCACCAAATGTAAAGCAAACACAACTAGACTTTAATTAAATTGTAGCTTACAGCGCCACCAGTGGGCGTTCAGTGAACTGCAGTCAGAGTCCTGTCGCTCTGTACTCTGTCTGTAGACGCGAGCATCATCCATCATCAGACCAGTAGAAAGCTATCGTTAGCTTTTCTACCGCTACATCATTTATTGTTGGCTAAAATCTACAC